CAATAATGGTTTTATACAGCACTTGTCCTTGTGGGACTGAGTTAGTTCACTCAGCATAATACTCTCCAGTCCCTCACAAGTTAGGTAGTAATTTACAAAATAATTGCTTCTGTGTGCTGCATAGTATTCCATTATATGAATGTACCACAACTTCTCAATCCATTAGTTTGTTGTTGGACATCTGGGCTGTTTCCATGATCTTGCGATAGTGAATAATGCTACTATTAACATTGGTATACAAGTCTCCATTTGAGCCTCTCTCATTTTCTTATATTCCAAGCAATGGAATAGCTGGGTCATATGGAATTTCTATGTTCAGCTTTTTAAAGAAGCGCCAAACTGCCTTCCAGAGTGGTTGTACCAAGTTTAAAGTGTCTTTAAGAAGGTATTTTACACACATTTCAACTTGAATGCAGATAAAACTTTTATCAAAACTAAGGCATTGGAGCTCACGTGGCCTAGTGACAAGAAGCTGCACTGCAATCCCTAAGGCTCGTGGTTTGAATCTACCAGATGCTCCACTGGAGAAGGAGGGGCAATCTCCTCCTGTACCAGTTGGATCTGACTTGACAATATACACACAAAAATGAATAAAAATTTTTTAAAAAATAAGGCATTAATTTGTTGTTGTTATTGTCAAGCACCATTTAAGTGGGAACTGACTGACCATCCAGTAGATTTTCAGAGGCTGTAAATCTGCCAGGAGCTGATTGCCCAACTTTGTCCTGTCGAGCAGCTGGTGGATCGGAACCACCTGCTTGTGGGTTACAGCACTCAGGGACAAGAGCTCCCTATGTAGTAGCCATAATTAGGCTATAAACAATAGACCTTTGTCTTTCATCGAATTTAAAATACGAATGATGCAAATGAAATGTACTTTGATAATTCTAAGCAAGTATACCATTTATTGCATACTGTTAAAAAAGAATTGAACAGACTATACCCTAAATTTAAGGAATCTTATAGTATGCTAAAAATCTCTCAATTCTGAAAAGTCAATTTTTAAAAAATTTTTTTGTGTGTGAGTATACCGTCAAATCAGATCTGACTGGTACAGGAGGAGATTGTCCCTCCTTTTCCCGGCAGAGCATCTGGTGGATTCGAACCGTATGCCTCTGGGATTGTAGTTGCAGCTCCTTGCCACTAGGCCACCAGAGCTCCCCTAAAGTCAATTATTTTTAAGCTATTAAATATCAGGTATGGTCAGTGAACTCTTGCCTACTTGTTTAGACTTTGTTTTACAATTCACTGAAAGACCTCATAGAACAGTCCGATGAGTTTATAGGTAGAGACTCATGTTCTATGATAGGTATTACAAAGTTAAACAGTTACATTGCATTTTTCCTATAGAAATATGTATATATCACCATCAACACTATAAAAAATAAGTATTTTAGCATTTCTCATAAATAGACATGAAAAAAGTAAATAATTGCTCATTTAGGAAGAATAATGGCTATTGGTTGATTAAGGAGATGACAAACACTTTATGATTTAAGCTGCTTGTCTTTCTACTTTTATTTGTCTTGTCGCCTTGAGGATGATTAGGCAATTAAACTACATCACTGACATTCTGAGAGAATTTAGAGAATTTTGAAATCTTTCCAAATTCACACATACTGCCTCACTACTCAGTTTCATTCATAAGATGTTACAGAGCGTAATAGACAGTTAGGACCCAGTTAGGACCCCACTGACTAAATAGGAAAATAAATATGTATTATAAGCTAATCAGATGAATTTAGGTGGGAAACATTTTCATGAATGTCTTGTTTCTGTAATAAAGCATATGGCCCGCTGGTTCATAGATCCAAATATTGTAGTTCAACATTTTACTCCTTATTCAAAACTACTGTGGCTGAGAACAGCTACTGTCTTAGAGTTCTTCCCTGCCTTGTAACTGACTCTCTTCTTTCTTTTAAGCCAACTTTCACTAAAAAAAACTCAAAACTGCCCACAAATGTAAAAGAATTATTTTAGTTCTTGCTTTGGTGGTTCTTTTAATTCTTTACTTTGGTGATGATTGTTGGGTACCATCAAGTTGGAACTGACCCATAGCTGACTGTCCAGCAGGTTTTCAGAGGCATTAAATCACATGGGAGGGAGTTTGCCCATCTTTCTCTTGTGGAGCAGCTGGTGGATTTGACTCACTCACTTTTGGGTTGTCAGTGAAGATCCTTACCACTAAGCCACCAGAGGTCCTTTTAATGGCTTTGAGAGAATGAATGAGGACAGGATGAAATGAGATGAGAGAGCAGTGCTGGCCACACCCACTTCTCAGCCACAGGACTCCTACCAGCTGGCTCCACTGTCTGCTCATTCACTGCGTAGACTGCTGAGATCTCCCTTCCAGAATCTAAAACAAAGAATGCCTGATGTGCTTGTAAAGCACTGAGGAGGCCAGGGCTGTTTCCTGCCTAAAGATAGTCCTTGCATATGTACCTTTATCAATACAACCTTTTGGAGCCCCCTCTAAATTCATAAAGACTCATTCCTTAATTCAAGCCAGGTATCATTTCTTTCCTCTTTTGAAAGTAGACTATGTTGAAATGTAATACATACTCACAGCCGTGGAATTGGAACCAACTCATAGCTGACCCTCCTTTGAGTGTCCAAGGCTGTAAATTGCATGGAAGGAGATTGTCCAACCTTCTCCTAAGAAGCTCTTCTGATTGATTCAAAATAGCAGAGTGCCATGGTCTTGGATTATCAGCACAGACTCGACCACCAGAGCTCCCTGTACACCAAAGCCCTTAGAAGTAAACATAAATTCCAAGTGTCCCACTCGGTTAGTTTTTATAAACTATGCAACTATGCCTATGTAACTTAACAGCCAAGTGAAAAATGACAGCATTCTCGGTCATTCCGGTCACCAGTGCCAACTAATGCATTCTAGCACCATAGATTGGGTTAGCCTGTGTTTGAACTTTATAGAAATGGAACCACTTTTTAAAGTAACTTTTTAAAGTTTTTTTAGTCTAGAAAGTTAAACCGATAGTCACAGACTGAGAATATCTCTGATAGTGTTTCATCTCTAAAACAAATAGAAACTTCGGCAACAAAATCATGTTGGTTTTGTGTACCATCAAGTCAGAACTGACTCATAGCTGAGTCACCAGTCAGTTTTCAGAGGCAGAACTTTGCACAAGGGGAGATTGTCCGTATTCTTCCACAAAACAACTGGTGGTTTCGAACAACATACCTTTGCACGGGCAGCGCAGTTCCTTATGATTAGACCAGCAGATGGGTTCATCAACAAAAAGACAACTCAGTTTTAAAATAGGCAGAGGACAAAAATAGAAATTTTACCAAAGGAGACTATTGTTCAGCCAGCAAACACATGAAAATATGTTCCCAGTCATTAGCCATTAGAAAGATACAAATCAAAACTAAAAAGAGATGTCTTCTCACCTCTGCTAAAATGGCACTAACTTAAAAACAAAGAAACAAAAATCTAGAAAATAAAGGTGTAAAAGATGTGAGGAGATTGGAACACTTATGTGTTGCTGATGGTATTTTAAAATGCCACAGTCAATATGGAAGACAGTGGTGCTTTCTCAAAATCTAGAAACATTTGTACCTAATGATACAGCTGAACATTCCATGGACGGCCAAAAGAACAAAAAAAAAATATGTCTTGGAGAGGGTGTAGCCAAAGTGCCCTTTGGAGGCAAGGATGATGAGGCTTTGCCTCACATATTTC